CATACACGGCATACAGACAACATACACGGCATACAGACAACATACACGGCATACAGAGAACATACACGGCATACAGACAACATACACGGCATACAGACAACATACACGGCATACAGAGAACATACACGGCATACAGAGAACATACACGGCATACAGACAACATACACGGCATACAGAGAACATACACGGCATACAGACAACATACACGGCATACAGACAACATACACGGCATACAGAGAACATACACGGCATACAGACAACATACACGGCATACAGACAACATACACGGCATACAGAGAACATACACGGCATACAGACAACATACACGGCATACAGAGAACATACACGGCATACAGAGAACATACACGGCATACAGACAACATACACGGCATACAGAGAACATACACGGCATACAGAGAACATACACGGCATACAGAGAACATACACGGCATACAGACAACATACACGGCATACAGAGAACATACACGGCATACAGACAACATACACGGCATACAGACAACATACACGGCATACAGACAACATACACGGCATACAGAGAACATACACGGCATACAGACAACATACACGGCATACAGAGAACATACACGGCATACAGACAACATACACGGCATACAGACAACATACACGGCATACAGACAACATACACGGCATACAGACAACATACACGGCATACAGACAACATACACGGCATACAGACAACATACACGGCATACAGACAACATACACGGCATACAGACAACATACACGGCATACAGACAACATACACGGCATACAGACAACATACACGGCATACAGAGACGCGATCAAACACCTAAATTATTGGGAGCGTGTAAATCTTCTCCAAAAGCTCGCTCTCTAGAAAGGAGACGAGAGAGAATATATGCACGTGGAAAATACTGGAGGGTCAGGTCCCAAATTTACACAGTAAAAACCTTACTGGAGTGAACGATATGGAACGATATGCTGTTTTAGATTTAGCTACTTAGAACGAAATGTCCATGTAGCACGGGCTATGGCGAGCCCATAAGATATGGAAGGAATCCATAGGCACGGACAACATTATACACATCAGAGGTCCAACGGGTGTTCAACATCCTCCCAGCGAGCATAAGAAATATTGCCGGAACAAAAGTGGAAATATTAATAAAAAAAAGGACACTTTTCTGCAATAAGTGCCAGGCTATACGTGGGCCTGCTGGCCGCTCCAAGCAACAGCCTGTTGGACCAAGTTCTCAGGTCAAGCTTGGCCCAGCCGTGGGGAATAGAACTACTCCCAGAACCTTATCCAGGTACAATCTAGGTTATAGATCAATTATTATAATGATTTATTCAAGGTAAAAAAAATACCCGTTTTACTCAGAAAATCCAAGGCGTTGCTATCCAAGGCCACGAAAGTCAATATTATGTTCCGAAGACAATTTAAAAACGTAGAAAGTTATAAAATATATAAATACCAACAACGAAAGATGAGAAACGACACGTTACCCTACGGAACGACCGACCTCGTTACCAACTCAACCCCGGGACCCACTTACTGTAAGTGGCTCTCACGACGTGGCAACACCGTTGACATTACCAATAACGCAGCCGACAAAGGAATAAAGTGCTAGACGACACACACACATTAAAGTACATAATCTGGGTCTAACAACATGACAAATAACCCTTAAAGAAGGTGATGTCATCAGCGCCTCTTCCACCCCCCCCCTCCCTGCAGCTACGAGCCAACGACATGGTCCCCCAAGCTCAACGACCATGGAAGCCATTAGGGTCGATTTTGACGTGTCGCGTAAGGCCGGAACGAGCCTTACGAGCAGCCCCTCCGACAGCTTCCAACGTGGCTTTACGACACAGGAAGTGGTGATCAAATTGCTGCTTATTCCGGTGCTCATTACCCGCTGTCTCCTTCCATTTCAACTCGTCGGTTCAGCAACGGCTTCGTGCAGGGTCGGCGTTCGATTCCCCGATGGTCTTAAAAGCGTTGGGTACCTCGTAGGGGGCCGTAGCCGTAGGGGCCTCGTAACCTGGTGGATAGCGCGCAGGACTCGTAATTCTGTGGCGCGGGTTCGATTCCCCGATGGTCTTAAAAGTGTTGGGTACCTTAATTGGCCGAGTCGTATCTCGTACGACCTCTCCTGGTAGTTACTACCTCACATTACTACCTCGTATCCCAGCACGCTCACAGTGAACTGTGGATCACAGGAGGACATCTCTGATGCGGAACACCACACGCTAGTTTAGACAGACAGATGCAGGGGAAACTTTCCCAAAGTCCATTTTCCTTGATAATCTGTTGCATTCTCACCTCAAACTTGATAAACTTTTATTATTTGTTAATATTATAGTCTAACAAATGGGTTAAGAACATATGAACTCTGGAATTAATGAAACTACCTATTGTCTTCTATAAGCAGCTCCTGAATATTTCCACTTAAACTTATACACACACACACACACGTCTGACTAACCTATGCAACACTTCAGTGATCCCGGTAACTTAATCCATACAGTAAATCAACCACCTGTTTCTAAACCATTATTTACCCAGGTCTTTCCTGATCTAAACCATTTATATCCATTGGCATAATTTACTTGATAAGGAACAGAGGAGATGAACAGATTAAAGATTTATTACATCAATTCAATCTTAGCTAATCGTGGTACGGTTACCAGTGAGAGTGAAAGAGCATATTACAACCAATCAAGAGGTCATTACAACCCACCACACAGCCCACAACCCACCAGGAGTCCCTTGAGACCCACTAACAACCTAATAGCTCACTACAACCTACCCACAGCCTCCAATAAAGCCCAACGTATTCCTAAGAGTACAGTGTACACCTGTACATAGCCTTGCTGTACACAGGTGAGCTGCTTCCTACCTGTACACGCCAGGTGGACAGACTCCCATCACCAGATGAACGCAACACGTCCCTTACCTGGAAGATAAGAGCAATTAATTATAATTTACATTCTCCAGAAGCAGACAAAGTTTTATATTTACGTCGTTTGATCATTAATGTCAGGTTACTGCGTAAATGAACTGGAATTTAACCTTAATGATAATTATTGTTAAGGTGGATACCTGATCAACCAGGCTGTGATTCGTACGTTAGGCTGAGAGCAGCCGCGTCCAACAGCCTGGTTGACCAGTCCAGCAACCAGGAGGCCTGGTCGACGACCGGGCCGCGGGGACGCTAAGCCCCGGAAGCACCTCAAGGTAAGATTAATTATTCTATTATTATTGGCGAACAGTTTATAAAATATACAAGATTACCAAATTTTCTTAACACAAAGTTGATCTTTATTGATAACTTTAAATCTCACGATTTCAGGACTTTAGGAGTTTACTCTGGGAATTGGAGATGCCTTAACTACCTAACTATGCACAACTGGCACCCTGCTAAATCATTATAAACACTGGCTAGTTATGATCGCAAGGGCCTCGTTGGGCAACTGACACCAATATTTCAAGATATCTAGGCCAAGGTCATGTCTTCCCCCCCCCCCCCAAGTTGCTTCACGACGGGGTAGTGTATTACTTGATCAATCTGGCTGTGGTGGCCAAGTACCGGGGCACAAATTACCTCCATTAGTCATTCAACCCTTCAGACACTGGCCAAGATATGATTAGTTTCGAAATCATCTACAGGTAATCTCCCTGTAATTAATAAGATATACCAAGGTATCATACCACATGTTATTTTAATCACTTGAATTGTTATTTGTATAGTTCTAGTTATTCAACTACAGGCTGTTGTAATTGTTCAGGGTATTTCAGAGTAAGGTGTAGTGGGGGTGTACACAGACACGGGCAGACAGATACAGACACAGATACAGACAGATGCAGATACAAACACACACAGATACAGATACAGACAGATGCAGATACAAACACATACAGATACAGACAGATACATACACAGACACAGATACAGACAGATGCAGATACACACACAGATACAGATACAGACAGATGCAGATACAAACACACACAGATACAGATACAGACAGATACATACACAGACACAGATACAGACAGATGCAGATACAAACACACACAGATACAGATACAGACAGATACAGATACAGACAGATACAGATACAGACAGATACATACACAGACACATACGTCAGGGGATGGGGCCAAGCACAAGAAACACCTGCCCAACACCAACAAGACCCCCCCCCCCCCCGCCCCCTAAACACGTGCCGTACAGGTGAGCACACATGACTGACAGCTGTCAACCACGGACAGTTAGCCATGACATCATGTACAATACAATTAAGCCGTTAGCGCATGCGCACTCACGCGCGACACACCAAAGCCTCGTTACGCAAAACTGAACAAGTCTGACAGTTGTTTAACAGTTGTTCAAAGCTTCGTTTATTGGACATTACAGTATAGAGTACATTACTTGGAAGTACAGTATAGAGTACATTACTTGGAGGTACAGTATAGAGTACATTACTTGGAGGTACAGTACAGAGTACATAAAAGTGCATAAGACCAACCAGGCTGTTGTGGATCCATGGGCCTGCCGGCCGCACCAGGCTGTTACTTGGTGAGGCCCGCAGGACCATATATTAGGTTCTAGGGAAACCCCTATCTGCCTGACATTACAAAAATAGACGTAACACGCAGTAAGGTTAATAATTAACTATTGAATAAAATGTCTATTGTCCTTTTCTATTGACTAATTACTGCTAAGAAAAATGACAACCATTTTCACTTTACATTTGGTTTACTGGTGACAAACCTTGTGCACATATTTCGTAACGATTAGGCTAATTATTTGTTATAGAATTGTCAATAAAAACAAATATTATATTGTTTTATAATAAATTCACAACTGATGATCTGTTCGACAGAATAAAACATTGTAATTGTCTCGAAGTGTAATATGAACAAGTAAAACTTGTTAAATGTTACTTAAATGGTAACTATAACGTTAATATGCTATATTAATCGGCCTTACCTTGTGTTGGTTGTGGGGATCAATGTCCCCCGCGGCCTAGTCACTGGCCAAGCCAACTGGTCCCACTCTGAATCACAGCCCGGTTGATCAGGTATTCTTTGGAGGTGTTCATCAAGTTCCCTTTTGAACACTGAGACGTCGGCCAGTTATGCCCCTTATGTTTAGTGGGAGAATGTTGAAGACTTGGGCTCTTGTTATAAGTGTTTCTTAACGCACCTATTGCAACTCTGCTTTTCAACGGGGGTATTTTGCACTTCCTGCCATGCCTCCTGGTCTCCTGCGGTGCTATTTACATGTGCACATTTGGAACCAGTCTAATATTTTCCAAATGAAAATTATTCTCTCACTATCATCGTCAATGGTCAATATCGCGGCTAGGTCCTGTAATCAGATCTGGGGCTCTTGACCATGCTAAGTTCTTCAACTGGTTATATCTACCCCGCACACACGTCTGGTAGCGAATGCCAGAACAAACAGCCATGTAGCTTGCGAAGGCTAGAGTGGCCTTGGCCAAACTATTGGTGCTGGTCCTACAGCACCTGGCTATACTCTACTAGCAGCCACTCTTCACACCAGGACATGCCTTACCTAGACACACACTTTGCCCACTCATTCATAACTCCTCAAGCAGGACTTCCCAGCTGTAGTCAAGTGCCCACCCCGCACATGTGCGTACGAGAGATGCGCAAGTAGCCACGAGGCTCGTGGAAACTACGCATACACAACACAACGCACGGAGGACAGGGAGCGACTGCTGCCAGCTAGCGGTGTAGCGCTGCCTGCTAGCAGTGTAGCGAAACTAGCGCCGCTGTGGTTCGTAGCCCTCGCCATGTTTGTTTACATAACACTCCCGCCAAAAAAAGTGCTAGTGCAAGCAGCGCTCTCATGTCGGCCAGTGGCGCCAATTTATCTCTCTCTAGGCCTGTGCATTCCTGCACGCAAGCATGAATGAAGTCATTTAAGGCTTTCGCAATAGCATGAACGCTGTACACTGGCTCCATTGTGCAAGTTACGTAAATCATTGCGGAACTTTCGATAAGATAGAGGCTTCCGTGGGGCACAAACTGCCGTGACGTCACTCAACTACTCCTCCCGCCCCCCCACGAACAACACACACATGGTATCTGGTTTCATATACCACGAATTTCCGAGCATTTCTCCACTATCAGTAGCCAACACTCGTCCTCATCCTGGAGTGCTTCTTGGAAATGAAATGAGTGTCCGAGAAACTTTTGGGAATTCTGTGTAGTGTGGCCAGCAACCCGTCCTCCGAAGGTTTCCCAACGTCGAGAAACTGTCGTACTAAAGTGCCCTTATCCTAACCTCCCAGAGGACCCAAAACAGAGAACGGGACGGTATGTCAAATTTCTAGTAGGACAATTTTTGGCCTTAGGTTAAAGCATACGTCAAAATACGACGTTCTATTAGGATTAAAGGTAGGCGTATAAAGCCTATTAGGAGGACGGGAGGACAGGTGATTACAAGGATTCAGGTAATTACAAGGATTCAGGTAATTACAAGTGTTCAGGTGGCTCTTTTAACTCACAAGAGTCACTCCATTGTCTCTATCGTCGCCTAAACTTTCCTACATTACAGTTGACGTTTGGAGTCATAACTCCACCCTCTACCTCCTTCCCGCCACTGTTCATGGCCCGCCCTCCCACCGTCCATGGCCCGCCCATGGCCCCGGGGCGAGGTGGCCCGCAGAGTGGCTCTCACCGGCCTGAAGTGGCCCGCTCTCACCCATCTGGTGATCTTCCTCTTACAGCGGGTGGGGTTTTTACGGGGTAAAGGACAATGGTGAGCAACAGGTGAAGGAAAAGCTGTCAAAACGAAAGTCTTTTGATAGCAAGGTGGGATGTCCGCCTTGCTGACACGAGGTTAGGATAGCAAGGGGGGCTGTTCGCCTTGCTGACACGAGGTTAGGATAACAAGGGGGGCTGTTCGCCTTGCTGACACGAGGTTAGGATAGCAAGGGGGGGCTGTTCGCCTTGCTGACACGAGGTTAGGATAGCAAGGGGGGGCTGTCAGCCTTGCTGACACGAGGTTAGGATAGCAAGGGGGGGCTGTCCGCCTTGCTGACACGAGGTTAGGATAGCAAGGGGGGGCTGTCCGCCTTGCTGACACGAGGTTAGGATAGCAAGGTGGGATGTCCGCCTTGCTGACACGAGGTTAGGATAGCAGGCGGGACAAAGAGACACGCTATTAAACACCGTGCATCTATATCCGTCACCAAGATAATGTTACTAAAACAAGACTAAAACCAGTGCACTAAATCAGAAGCCCATTTGAAACAGGAGAAGAGGAGGAAACGCCACCTCCATTTAAAACTTTAACCCAAATATCACAGTAACAAGGTTATCGCGAATAACCAAGCTCAATTAAGGGCTCACTATAACCCGTGCTACATGAACACTTCGTTCTGAGTAGCTATATCTAAGATAACAACATAACTACAAGACACCGCCCAGCAAAGGCCCAAACAGTTCCGGAGCTCCATGAATCACTCAACACACACCACACTGAACACACCACCAAGCAACCTGGATGTGGAACACCATCAAAATTGTACATGTTCCGATATTCGAAAATTATGCCCCAATGCAACGTACCCGTCCTCTCGATTTGCCAATCCCCTCCTAGTGACACACTGCCATAGTGACAGTATTGTGCAGCGTCACTCATCCTGTGAGTGGACACACCGCCATAGTGACAGTATTGGTCAGCGCCACTCATCTTGTGAGTGGACACACCGCCATAGTGACAGTATTGGTCAGCGCCACTCATCTTGTGAGTGGACACACCGCCATAGTGACAGTATTGGTCAGCGCCACTCATCCTGTGAGTGGACACACCGCCATAGTGACAGTATTGGTCAGCGCCACTCGTCCTGTGAGTGGACACACCGCCATAGTGACAGTATTGGGCAGCGCCACTCATCCTGTGAGTGGACACACCGCCATAGTGACAGTATTGGTCAGCGCCACTCGTCCTGTGAGTGGACACACCGCCATAGTGACAGTATTGGGCAGCGTCACTCATCCTGTGAGTGGACACACCGCCATAGTGACAGTATTGGTCAGCGCCACTCATCTTGTGAGTGGACACACCGCCATAGTGACAGTATTGGTCAGCGCCACTCATCTTGTGAGTGGACACACCGCCATAGTGACAGTATTGGTCAGCGCCACTCATCCTGTGAGTGGACACACCGCCATAGTGACAGTATTGGTCAGCGCCACTCGTCCTGTGAGTGGACACACCGCCATAGTGACAGTATTGGGCAGCGTCACTCATCCTGTGAGTGGACACAACGCCATTGTGACAGTATTGGTCAGCGTCACTCATCCTGTGAGTGGACACACCGCCATAGTGACAGTATTGGTCAGCGCCACTCGTCCTGTGAGTGGACACACCGCCATAGTGACAGTATTGGGCAGCGCCACTCATCCTGTGAGTGGACACACCGCCATAGTGACAGTATTGGTCAGCGTCACTCATCCTGTGAGTGGACACACCGCCATAGTGACAGTATTGGGCAGCGCCACTCATCCTGTGAGTGGACACACCGCCATAGTGACACACTATCATATCTATACATGATAAGTGTGTTTTCCTAAATTCAAATTATTTAGAATTTACTATACTACACATTTCTAATCTCTCAGATGGGTACATTATCTGAGGTAGTCAAGGCATTTGCCCTCACTCTCGCCACAGTTTCAGTAGCTGCTGCTTCCATCCTGAATATCCATGGGTAACAGTCAGGATTCGTCAATCCTGAATATCCATGGGTAACAGTCAGGATTCGTCAATCCTGAATATCCATGAGTATTTGGATCCAAGACGATTTCTCGCTATTAACGAGTCTTTTCCTTCGACCTCCTCCCCTTCGTTCACTAATTCGTGAACAAATTAGTGACTGTCAGCTGCAACCATATTAAACTAGGGTACGGATTCACTAATTTGTTGTTCTATCCTCATTTCCTCAGGCACCTTGCGCCGGATTCACGAAGCAGTTACGCAAGTACTTACGAACGTGTTCATCTTTCCTCAATCTTTGACGGCTTTGGTTACATTTATTAAACAGTTTACAAGCATGAAAACTTGCCAATCAACTGTTGTTATTGTTATAAACAGCCTCCTGGTGCTTCGGAGCTCATTAACTGTTTAATAATTGTAAACAAAGCCGCCAAAGATTGAAAAAAAAGTGTACAGGTTCGTAACTGCTTCGTGAATCTGGCCCCTTGTCACGGTGAAGTTGTCTGATGACCTCTCGAACTTGTCGAAGCGTCTTGGGTGTGAAGTATTCAATATGGTCTAGACCGCCCTCGGCAGCCAGCACATTGCTTGTTCGTTTCCACATATTCCAACGTGAAAGGAGTTCTTCAGGCACTTGAGCACCCTTCAGTGATGAGTATTTTCATAGCTCTCTGGATTTCATAAGTTTTCCCCTCAATTTTCTGCCCGTTTTTTGTTCTATGGCTTCGTAGGATGGCCTTTGAATTAGAGCAGATCAAAGCATCTTTTAGTGTATATTTCACGAAATGTTACTGCTTTAACAATGGTAGTTATATCCGCTTGAAGAGGCATAGTTCTAAGAAAAATTGACGTGTGTTCATTTATGCATCACACACACACACACAAAATGAGCCCAATAGGCTAAGAAACCTGTACACCAGTTGACCGACTGTTGAGAGGCGGGACCAAAGAACCGAAGCTCAAACCCCCGCAAGTACAATTAGCCTAGTACACTTAGTTGAGTACACACCGCTCTCTGAAATCCGGTTCACGAACACTGAAAAAAAAGAACATATCAACAGATACCTGTGACGTCAATTAGAGACGGGGGGGGGGGGAGGGGTAAGGTGGGGGGGGGAGGGGTAAGGTGGGGGGGGGAGGGGTAAGGTGGGGGGAGGGGTAAGGTGGGGGGGAGGAGGAGGGGGAGGGATCTAACGATATTTGTTTTAAATATTATTTTTAAATTATGCTTTACAAAAATTGACGTCATTGGCAATATTTGATTCAGTTAACACTGTTGTGTATGGGAGAGATGAGTTGTGTGTGTGCGTGTGGTCACCTAGTTGTGTTTGCAGGGGTTGAGCTCCGGCTCTTTGGTCCCCGCCTCTCAACTGTCAATCTACTGGTGTACTGATTCCTGAGTGTGTGTGTGTTTACTATTTGTACCTGCAGAATCGAGCTATTAGCTCTTGGACCGCGCCTTTCTAACCAATTTATTTTTCCTCTATTATGTCTACTACATATATTTCTCTCTAACACACACACACATACACACAGGAAGCAGTCCGTAGCAGCTGTCTAACTTCCAGGTACCTATTTACTGCTAGGTGAACAGAGGCACTAGGGTGAAAGAAAATTTGCCCATTTGTTTCTGCCCCGGCCGGGAATCGAACCCAGGACCTTAAGACTACGATCCCCGAGCGCTGTCCACTCAACCGCGTGTGTACATATTCTCCTACATGTGCTTGCATGGACGCAATCCACCTTCTAAGCCCAATCGTGCTGGTCAATGTATGCATGCACGCATACATCTGCTTGATACCTGCTTGACTACAGGCCAATTTCCCTCCTCGAGGTACCAGGTAAAATATTCGAAAAAATTATCAATCAGAGACTTGTGAAGTACATGGAAGAGGAAGGGAAGTACAACACCAGGCAGCATGGGTTTAGACACCGCAGAGGGGCCCATACAGCTATAGCTCTGATCTACGAGCATATAGCTAACGCAGTGTCGAAAAAAGATCAGTGTAATATAGTGCTTA